TAATAATAATAGTATAGCCATATAAAAGTTTGGCACTTAGAAGCGTACACCTTATATTAATAACTTAATACACAGTCAGTCTCGATAAGTCGGCCAACTTGGTTTGACCTCTAATGGCCGACTTATCGAGAAAACGACTTATCGAGAATCACATGATTAAGTCTTTTAATTAATCCTTTTATTAATTAATAATAATAATAAACGATCACATAAAAAGTCTTGGTCTACACGAATACATAACATTTAGCTTTAATTGTATGATCTAATGACTGTCTATTGTATTAATCGCACGATTCAAAACGCTTCTAATGACATGTTTACTGCTTTAATCGTATGATCTAATGACTGTTTTATTGAATCATACGATTCTAAATAAGTAAAGAATTATCGTACGAGCTGTGATCCGCCAGTTAAAATTGAAGAAATATGTGTTACATTATACAACTATCACCGACTTATCGACTAAGACTCGTTTGGAGCTGTTGGCCAACTTACAGCTTATCGAGAATTTACATAGATTGACCGACTTATCAAATAGTGAAAAGAACGTAGAAAAGATTTTGGCCGACTTGAGCCAAAACCGACTTATCGAGAGACCGACTTATCGAGACTGACTGTGTATTAAGGACCATATTGTATCAATATCAATTATAAGTTAGAACAAATCCTACCTGTACTTGGAAGTTCTTCATCTCTGTGACACATCTGATTAAAATATTAACACTCAGAAAAACTGTGATAGAGCTTGTGGTAAAAGTAAAAAAATCTTATTAATGCGTCTCTTTCATGTAAACCAGATACAGAGTCAATAGTAATAGTAACAGGTAATTAATACTGTGCTATTAATATTAATATTAATGCCATATATACCTTTTGGTTACAGACTGTTACAGAAGCAAATACAAATCAGGCAGTCGATGTAATTGTACTCACTTCCAATAGATCTGTGGCAATTCTAATTGGTTCAGTGCCTTTGAATTAATAAACAAACCTCTTTAGCCTCACTAACTACATTTTCAAGTACTAATAAATAATGTTTGGATTATTAGACAAACTAAAAATCAATAAAACCAGTGAGATTGAGTGTGAGTTTCATACTAACATTAATTTGTAAAACAAAGAATATTTCAGCTTTTCCTGCTTAATTGGACAAATTTGGATATTATAATTATAATTACTGCTTGTACTTAATACATCATATCATTGTCAGAACATTTTTTCGTACTACTTTTTATGGGAAACATTGACAGTAGATATGGGATAAAATTGGGCAAAATGTTTTGTCATTTTATGTCCTTCATATTTTAATGGAATCATCTTCTCTATCATCAAAATTACCTACATCATTATCAACATTATCATCTTTGACTGGTTAATTCCATTCTTCTGTCATATTTCAAAGAAGAAAATGTCTGTTGGATTTTTTGAGCTAACAGTAAATAATTCAGGGTTTAAAATAAGTCATGCAAATGTACCAGCCTGATATGCATCAGAAAATCCAGTACTATTATGTCATAATGCTTGTTTTTTTATGTCTTAAAGTAGTGGTATATATTGGTATAAAATGGCTCTGCCAATGCATATACATTAAACAATAAGGGCTGAAATGAGAGTTTTGTTCAAATTTGAGTCGGATTATATGAGCGCATAATTTATTAATAGTATCATAAAAATTATAAACCAAATGTACAAGCTCAGCTCACGTTATGGGGAAAAAACGACGAGCACACTTTTGCAAGACACTATGAAAGCTTTCTTCCCCCAGATGACGTATTAAAGGTTTTCAGAACTTCTATATTTTTTGCCAGATTTGAATGCTTATTGTTATACAATTTTATGGCAAAAGCCAGCCATTCTATCTCTAATATGATGCTTCGTCACATTAAAGTATTTCAAGACAAGCACAAATTTTTTCGCTATACTATTAAATTCCACGCTGCTGTCTTGGCGCGAGACTATAGCAACAAGTTATTATATGATGCTTGAATGGAAACTACGCGGTAGTATGCACCAAATATGGCATTTGTACGGTGTATGTACCTATAGCAAAATTTATATTACTCATAACGTCAATAATATTGTCACCAAGTCCTAAATCCATCATCAATTCACATTGTAAATATGCCAGTAGTTAACAATTTTGGGGGTTCACCCCAAATTGAAAATTCGCGCGCACATTATCGCATTGTGCATCGGTTCAGTAATAATGCAAGAATGGTAAAAAGCCAAATTTAACTAATACCACACAACGAAAACAAACCGGTAAGCTTCAAAATAGTCGCCAAAATTGTTGGCGAGCTAACTAACAAAGATAGATATTAACAATTAAGACATCCGTCATCGAGGATGCGATGCTTGGAAATTAAGAAGCAAGGTACTAAATTAAAAATTGTCAATTTATCAGAAAAATTTATTATTGAAATTAAGTAGCAGTATGTTCTCTTGACCTTGAAAGTGATTAGTGGTTCAGACAATGTTATCCGATTTTTGAATGTGGGGGATGGGTTAGTGGACTTTGTGGAACTTGTGGCGTTCAACTTTTGAGCCCCTAAAATGATTTAATGTGGCTCGTTATGTTTTACCATCTTTTATTGTTACCATGCACGCAATGTAAGATGTGACCAATAACAATGATTGGTTGTTTGACTTCAATTAAACCGTTTGTCTTTATTTTTTCCATTGTGTTAACGTTTTATCCGATTAATTGGATAATTCTTGTTATTTTGAGATCTTTCAGTTGGGGATGTTATTACCGATCTGAAAAATTTTTTCTCACCACAACGAGTAATAATCTACTACTTTTAGGTACGTTATATTTAGAACATGTGTTACACGACAGTGTTTGTCTGCGTTAATTATAGTGTACGTTATTTATGATTAGTACGTGCATATTTGTGTGGACACAAACTGAGTGAACAATTTTAAGCTCTCTTTGATTCCCGCTTCTCAATAAGTAATTCTCCATTCCCACAATACGTCTGCATCCTCCCACATTCTCATTCTCGTTTCCTTTCCAACTTAACACTAATACTAGATATACGTTATCACTGAACAATTCTCACCTATCTAACGTCACGCATATGACATCATATCATTTGCGCAAGGGAGTGTACATACATTCATATGGACAATGTACTCCTGCAAGTCTCTTTCACTATTCAAAGGATATCTCAGCTTACCTAATTGGAGGACGCACTTTGCCATACAAAAGAGTAACAATAGCAATCGCAACCCCTCATACCGAAAGTGTCTAGAGTTTTCCTCAGCGTTAATATTATTCCGTTTGTCCAACGTACACACTTATCACTATATCTGATACGTAATGATACTGGAAATTTGTAAGCGAAACTATTAATCTGTATAAATTATATTTGTCTATTCACTACCGCAGAAAAGAACGGGCATTTACGTCGTACGTTAACATTAGACCAATAATACGATAACGACTGGAAAGTTACGTGATATAATACAGACAGCTGATTTATGGTCTCTGTTATTATGCTCGTTATCATATTTAAAGCTTCCACTATGTAGACACTAACATTGGTAATATAATGAATGATAATAAATTGTTAGTGGGTACTGTGTGAGATTATGTGGGGAATATTGTACAATGTTCTCGTAATACATATTGTCGCATTAGTTAGACTATGGCCATATGCATTATGACTCAAAAAATGCGTCGTCAAGGGAATGCACGAGAACTGTTAACCGCAATAATGTATCATAAAAAAGGTTACAGTAAACTCGCAGTAATGCTATAAATCGGTTTAAGTACCCCGGATGCTTTACCAAAATGGACGAGAAGGGAATAGCATAAGACCCGGTACTAAGCAAGGGAAGTTATTTATGCTAGAGAAGTACTAGACCCGTATCAGTTGTTTATACGGTAGTGTTGTGTTAATATTTCTTCTCGTTAACAACATGGAAGAGTCTTTCTTTCAATATAGTCTGGGTAGTATCATGCGGCAGAAGGGTAATCCCGGTATTGGTAGATCTTGTATTCCTTAGCGTTAGGCATCAACCAATGAAATCCACATATTTACGAAACGAGCGAACGGCAATTCTCAAAAATGCTTTCACCGCTTATATCTCGACTCTTTTCCACATTCCAAATCACTCCTCGTGCTATAACATCCCCTTTCCTGATAACATCCGTCAACTACCAGCAGATAAGATGGAACAGCGGAAAGGTTAACTCGTACAAAAAACCACGGAATAAGACTGCAAAATATCGATCGTTTTTGAAGGTATGAAATCGAATTAAGTCGACAAGACACTACAATGTTTTAGTATCTGACATGTTATCATTTATAGGCTAAATTACGAAGACTACGTAGGAAAAAGACTTACTATCATAAATAACCGGACGAGTTCGTTGCATTAAGCAATGTACTAACATACCACTCTACAAGTCGGAGCGACGCAACCCGTCAGATATTGGGATGTTACATTTATCGTTATCACAGATAGGAGTCCTGTTTCAACCAAGGAGAATAAAGTCTGAGGGAACATTCGGAATGTACACTTCAAATTACTCGTTTCGTGTGCAATGAGCATCATAGAAATCAACAGATAGTAATAACGTTCTATTAACCTTTTCTCAAACATTTAAATAGAAATGTTAAATAATTTCGGTGACTGTCTTATGGAATAGATAAGAGCTTGCTTCTCAACTATCATTAATATCAACTTGCTGGTGAATTAAGGGCTTGATCCCTCTTTTTGCAGTCGTGTACCTCTGATGAATATGAGAAACTGAAACTGATTGCCAGCGTCCAGCGTGTTTAAATTGCGATGTGATCTTGGATACTCTTTATGTTAGTCTTTACATTGATTATTGGTTCAAATTGGCTGACACAGTTGAGCTGCTAGTAAAGTATGATGACATATTCTGCATGTCTCATAACAATTGTTCGAGCATGCTTTACTTGTTATAAGAACCCCATAGTGCTAGTAACATATGTATTCAGTGAGAGATTTGAGGGTGTCTGAACAAACAGATCAAAAAGTTATAAATGAAACGGTTCAAACACAAAAGTACACGCTATACCGGTCATGTCATACCATATTCAAAACTCTGGTTCAAATTTGTCGAGAGTAAAGTTCAAACATTGGAATATACAACCATTTGTTAAGTTTTGAATACCTATACCCTGACTTGCCATTCCAACAAATCATTGTACTGTTTTATAAAACCCTATTACTATTTGTAAGTATACTACTAGATCAAAACATCACAGAGAGATGCTCTGCTCTTTGAAACATTTCTTCTGCCTGCATAATTCTTTGCATAAAAATCCAATATTAATATTTATAATTCTCAAGTAGTAATCAGAAATGATTTTCAGAATATCCAAAAGGATTAGAACTTGATATTCCATACTACGACTTAGGCTTTGTGATTGAAGTTCAAGGTGAGCAACATATAAAATATAATAAATTCTTTCATAGAGGAGATCCAAATAATTTTATCAAACAGCAAGAACGGGATCAACTCAAGAAAGACTTATTATTATGTGATGAAAATGATATATCTCTTTTATGTGTGGTATGATGATAAAGATCCAGAAAAGACTATTCGAGATGAATTGGGGCAGACTGCAACAAAACCAGACAAAGTGAACATTATGTTAAGTGACATAAATGTGAGGCTGATGTGGCTGAAAGTTAACTAATTTTGACTAATACTAATGACGTTTTGAAAAGTAATATTGGTACTCATTCATAACTTATGACCTGTTAATTTAATGTTCCCTTTATTATACCAGAATGCAAGGAATATAAACCATAACAGGATTACTATATATAGGACTATCCCTATATAAAATATGAAATTAATTTACATTAAATCCACTATGTAACCCAAGAATTACAGCACCATTAGAAGTATTTAAAAAAATTACTTCTTTAATTTCAATCAAGGTCATCTTTTATTTTCTTTAACTTCAATTTGAGCAATGTGTTGAGTCTGCTGTTTCTTAAGAATTCAACTTCACTTTCAAGTAGTCTTTGAATTTTATCTAATAATTCTTGCTTTGTTTATCATGTCAATCCTTTGAAACATCTAAGGCTTTCAAGTGAGAACTGATTTCTTCCTTAGCACTGGCTAGT